GCCGAAACCAGTTTGTGGGGAACGGGGTTGAAACCGGGGCCCACCACCATGGCGTTATCAAACGACTGTTAGGGGAAAGCTGGACAGGAGGTACGTGCCCCCGGGTAATTAGACATGAACGGCGAAACAAAGTAAGGGATACCTGACCGTTGCACTTGAGCTGTTGAACCGCCAGGCGGACCATACGGAGTCGGGGGGATGAGTAGTAAGAGGGATGGACGGCCGCATTTGCCTGCCCCGAAAACGGTTGCGGGGACCAAGATGTTCCGGGTGGATCAAGGGACAACCCCCCTGGAGGCTGGCCAACGAATGGGTCTTGCTGAATGGGCTGAGGAGTCTGTACGAGGTGCTGTGAACCAAGGGGGGCGGCCAGGGATGCCGAAGGATAACCATAGCCGACCGCGCTCTGCGAAGGGCCTGGGAACGACACGCTCGGAAATCCAACATGGCGGGCATCTGAAGTCGGGAATGTAGAAGGAGACGATAAATTCGAACCCAAACGAGACAGGAACGGCGACGTCGACGGTTAACTAACGTTCCACGACGACATAGTATTTGGCAATGATCTTGTAGACGAAACTGTTGCGCCATAAGATGGATAAACTTGAGCTAAAATACTGGTAATTTCAGCGAGCGAGTAAACGATATTATCTGACGAATTCTGCAGCGATTGTGATACTTCTGACACAGGCGAAGAGGAAACAAACGCCATTGAGTCAACGTTTGAAATAGATTATCCAGATTCACGAGGAATTAAACGAGGCATCAGCGATGCTCGAAGTGTTTGGAACGACTAAATGTCACGACTGAGAATGAGCTACTGGCGTAAACAACTTATATAAGGTAGGTTATGCAAATGCACTCATTAGCATTTGCCAAGCTGTCCCTGGGGCCCCCTATTCTGATAACAAGTACAACAACTCAGCTCGTTATTAATATCATTTATTTCATAAATCCAATATCCAAATTTCATTTGAGGGCATTATACAAAACCTTGTTGTTAATAAGTACTCATTTAATTTTTTGTATTGATCAAATTAATTTTATTAAATTCAGCAACTTAAGATGGCAATAGACCTTTCCTCTTTAGAGTGAAATTTTGATCTAGACAAGTCTGGACACAAATTTCATCACAGCTTGAAAGAGCATCAAAAAATTAGTAATATTTCGAAGTTTCGTTGCGAAATGTTGTAAAATGCGGATAATATACTTTGCGAAGTTTGCCGTTTTTCAGTCATTTGGTATTACTAATAATATATTGATAATCAGATTATCAAACTGACGCAAAATGTTAGATTGTAATGCAAAATTACTGAAAAACGGCAAACTTCGCAAGGCTATATTATCAGCATTTTACAACATTTCGAAACGAAACTTCGGAATATTACTAATTTTGTGATGCTCTTTCAAGCTGTTATGAAATTTGTGTCATAAGTAGTTGCATGATGATGGTTCTTAAGTAGATCGAACTAGAATTACTTTTCACTGACAAATATATTTTTCTGGCTATCTTTTATATCCGAACAATTCACTTACTGGCCTATGATGTG